TGCCTTATATAAGAATATTTATGGCCGGGCTCGGTGGCTCAGCCTGTAATCCCAGCACTTTGGGAGGCCAAGGTGAGTGGATTGCCTGAGTCAGTGGGTCTGTGACCCGCCTGGGCAACTTGGCAAGACCTCATCTCTACAATAAATCGAAAATTAGCCGGGTGTGGTAGCGCGCGCCTGTGGTTCCAGCTACTTGGAAGGCTGAGGCGGAAGGATCGCCGGAGCCCAGCAGGTCAAGGCTGCGGTGGCCGGGAGCGGCCACTGCACTCCAGTCTGGGTGACAGAGTGAGACTCCAACTCAAAAAAAAAAAAGAATATTTATGACATCATGATTCTCAGCTGCTAAAACCTGAAAAAAAAAAAACCCCAAATATCTAAAACCCAAATATCTAATCACAGTAGAATAAATAATATGAATATTCAGTAGGATAATGTACCACAGTGAAAATAAATGAAGTATAACTGTGTGTGACAGCATAGATGAATTTTACAGATGCAATGTTGAGTGAAAAAAAACTCAGGTAAAAGAATGTCTTTGATTCCATTTATATACATTTTATTTTATTTTATTTTTTATTTGGAGTCTCACTCTGTCACCCAGGCTGGAGTGCAGTGGCACACTCAGAGCCACTGCAGCCTCGACCTGATGGGCTCAGGGGATCCTTCTGCCTCAGCCTTCCAAGTAGCTGGAAATACAGGCACGTGCCACAACGCCTAACTAATTTTTTGATTTATTGTAGAGATGAAGTCTCACCAAATTGCCCAGGCTGATATCGAACCTGTGGGCTCAGGCACTTTTCTTACCTCAGCCTCCGAAAGTGCTGGGATTGTAGGAGTGAGCCACCGTGCCTGGCACATTTATATACATTTTAAAAACAGGCAGAATTAAGCTGTGATGTTTAGGGCTGTTTATTCTGGTGTTAAAAAAGAAGGACGACAAAGGGACAGCTATTTAAGCCTGTCTTTTGTGGGAATTGGAGGGATTATGAATGAGAACAGGCTTACTTGAAAGGGTCCTGGAATTGAGAGCATTGTTCTATTTCTTGACTTGTGTGGTGTTTAGAGAATATATACTTGTTAAGCTATACATGAGTTGTTTATACACTTTTCTTTACAGGTATTATAATAAGATTTAAAGTGCCTACAAAAATGAGAAGATGATTAATATAGTGTGCCAGTGTTCTGTGTTAGCATAGCATGCATAGCAGTTGGGTGGATCTTCTAAGTGTAAAGCTGTTCACTTATGGTGTAACTACTGTGGACACTGCTAGGAGTGAGAGGAGGTAGGATATAGACACAAGGAAATTCATCTCTCTAAGAGGTCACTGTCAGTTTGATGAAACAAGTATGTGGTTAAAAAGATAAGATACATATTTATTGTAAATTTTAAATGCCGCAAGTAACTAAAGTCCTGTGATGTTTTAAGTTGTAAACGTTTTTAGTCTTTAAGCCTTTGTTCGACATTTTTTGGTTCTGCTCTGAGGTTCACCTTAGGAGCACCTCAGACAATTTTTTTTTTTTTAAACCAGTGGAGTCTTGATCTTCAAAGCAAATATGCTTATGAAAATTAGGTAACAGCTTGGATTTTCCTTTGGCATGGAAGGTTAATTGAATTAAGTGTGAATGCCACTCATTCACATTTTATGTGACTTCAAGTAAAAGGTTTTGGATTTTTGACTTAGAATCAGTTACATGTTCTCTTTGAGGACTGATCATTAAAATGTAAAAATACGAAACATAAACGACCACGAATAGCCAAAACAATCCTTAGCAAAAGAAAGAAGGCAGGGGATATCACACTTCCAGACTTCAAACTTTACTATAAGGCTACAGTAATCAAAACAGCCTGGTATTAGTATAAGAGCAGGCATATAGATCAACGGAACAGGATAGAGATTCTGGAAGCAAAGCCTCAATTTCTCAACCAACTCATCTTTGACAAAACCTCCAACAACAACCACTAGGGAGAGGAGAACCTATTCAGTAAATGCTGCTGGGAAAACTGGCTGATCACATGCAGAAGACTGAAAGAGGACCCCTACCTATCACCATACTCAAAAATTAACTCTAAATGAATCAAAGTCCTAAACGTAAAATCTCAAATTATAAGAATCTTAGAAAACAAAGGAGACACCCTTACGGAAATTAGAACTGGCAACCAATTCCTGATCAGAACCATTAGTGCACATACCATAAGAAATAAGTTAGACACAAATGGGACCTCATCAGACTGATGAGCTTTTGCAAAGCAAAAGAAACTGTCAAGAGAGCAGGGAGACAGCCCATAGAATGGGAAAAAATATTTGCCAACTGTATATCTGACGAAGGCCTAACATCTAGGATCTACAAGGAACCCAAATGCACTGAAAGGAAAAAACAAACAGTCCCGTTCAAATGTGGGCAAAAGACATGAATAGACACTTCTCAAGAGAAGATATTTGGGCAGCCAACAGACACGTGAAAAAGTGCTTAGCCTCACTCATGAGAGAAATGCAAATCAAAACCACATTGAGATACCACTCAACCCCAGTAAGAATGGCCATCATTAATAAAACAAACAACAACAGATGCTGGCGAGGATACGGAGAAAAAGGAATGCTTCTACACTGCTGATGGGAATACAAACTAGTGCAACCTTTTTGGAAGACAGTGTGGTGATTTCTGAAAGATACTGACCTTCCATATGGCCCAACAATTCCCCTATTGGGAATGTACCCGGAGGTACTTGCACATGTATGTTTGTTGCAGTTCTATTCACAATAGCAAAATCATGGAACCAACCATGCTGCCCATCGATGCTAGACTGGATTAAAAAAATGTAGTACATATAAAATGTAAAAATACAGTTGCTTCTCTGTAGCTGTCTTTTTTATGGGAATGGGCAGTTTACTTAAAGAATCAAATCAGGAGTACTGGGTGTAGTGATTCACACCTGTAACCCCAACCACTTGGTAGGGCTAGACTAAGGTGGGAGGATTGCTTGAGTCCAGGAGTTCAAGAACAGCCTGGGCAACATAGCAAGACCCTGTCTGTAGAAGCATAAAAATGAAATAAAATAAACTTAATTAGGCATGGCGTCATGCACTTGTAGTCCTAACTACTTGGGAGGCTGAGGTAGGAGGATGGTTTGAGCTCAGGAATTGGAGGCTGCGGTGAGTCATGATTGCACTACTGTACTCCAGCTTGGGTGACTGAGCAAGACCTCAACTCGTAAAAATAAGTAAATAAAAAGAAAACCAGGAGCCTGTTAACATAGATCTACCACTTAATTTGGTTAAGTAATGAATGTATATTTTTCTTTGTGTAGAATTTTTAAAGATTATTTTATTGACAAATAAGAATTGTATATATGGTATATGTCAGGATATTTTGATGTATGTATACATTGTGGAATGGTGTGTAGAAACTGTTGGTAGTATGGTTTTACCTCAGTTGGGTTTCATTGACTTGATATAAATATTTTTGCTCTTATACTAAGTTTAGGTTTTCTTTTGATTACAGTTTGTCATTAGAATACAATAGTGACAGCTTGCTCTCTGGCGCCAGATTGACTGGGTTTGATTCTGCCTCTTGTTGGATTCCTCTGGAACTCAGCTACCATAAAATGGGAACAATACTATCTATATCAACTACTGTTGATGTTAAAACATACTTAGTGCTTGGTACAGGTGCTTCGAACAGGGCTTACAACTTTTGAACAGTAAGGTTCAGTAAATATTTGTCATTTAGGAAACAAAGCATGGCCGGGCTTGGTGGCTCAGCCTGTAATCCCAGCGCTTTGGGAGGCTGAGGTGAGAGGATTGCCTGAGCCCGCGGGTTCGAGACCCGCCTGGGCAACTTGGCGAGACCTCATCTCTACAATAAATCAAAAATTAGCTGGGCATCGTAGCACGCGCCTGTAGTTCGGAAGGATCACCAGAGCCCAGCAGATCGAGGCTGCAGTGGCCGGGAGCGGCCACTGCACTCCAGTCTGGGTAACAGAGTGAGACTCCAACTCAAAAAAAAAAAAAAAGGAAACAAAGTATGGTTAAAAGTGACTGTCTTTTCAGTAAGGTCTTCTCTGACTGTGCAAAATACAAGGGGACTTGAAAAAACTGGACTGATTTTTTTGGAGGGAGGGTCGCTTGTAGTACAGCCTTCCCCTGCTAGGTGAGTATTCTATAAAGCCATCGACATCAGTGTACCAGCTAGCATTGCTGTGAGAGACTGCACTTTACTTCAGTAAATTTTATTTTGGAGATTCTTTCAACATGTTTCGCCCATTTCACCATGGTTCATTTACAAGCATACCTGCCCATACCATATTGAGTGTTCAGCAGTTTTTGACCAAAAACGGCATGACCCTTGTGCCCCACCATCCCTATTCACTCAATCTCGCCCCATCAACTTTTTTTTTTTGTTTCCCCAATGAAAAAAGTCCTCAAAGGAAGATGTTTTGCTGATGTGGAAGAGATATAACAAAATATGGTAGAAGAACTAAAAGGCATAAACATCGACTAGTTCTTTGAGCCTGGAAAGTTCTTGATGAATGTATTGCATCAGAGAGAATTTTGAAAGTGATTAAAGTTCAAACTTGTAAGAATAAATACACAATTTTTTATAAATAAATTTCGGTTTTGGGGGGCATCCTCTCATATATTAGCATCCCTTTTTAAACTCTTCATCCTTTGCACTGCTGTATTTTTCTACATAGCTTACCTTTAATTGGTATTATATATTTGTTTGTTTTCCCATACTAGGTTTTAAACTCTGAAAGTAACAACTTTGTTTTATTCATAGCTGTGTGCATTCTATTGCTTGAAACAGTATCTTAATAGTAGGTGGCCAACAAATATTTGGTCAGTAGAAGACAACTAAATGATTTTTAGGGGATGTCCATTTGATTGTTATAATGAGTTACTGCCTTTTGTGAGGGTGCATATTTTGTTTTGGTAATGCCTCAGTGTTGAACTTTTTTGCCAAAAGCACCTTAAAATTTTACTTTTTTTTTTTTTGTTAAGCTATATGTGAAACAGAGCCTGAGCAGCCTGTTCAACATTACCCATTATGGGTAAAAGTAGAAGGTGAAGTAGATCCGGAGCCTGTTTATATCCCAACGCCTTCTGTCATTGAGCCTATGAAACCATTATTGTTGCCTCAACCAGAAGTTTTATCTACCACTGTGAAGGGCAAACTGTTTACTGGAATTAAATCTGCACGGGCATATACTCCGAAACCCAATCCTGTGGTAAGCCTGGAGTTTCATCCTTTATTGCAAATTATCAAAGTCATTATTAAAGATGATACGTTTCAACTACATTTTTGGTTGGTACTCTGAATTGCTTTGCTTTCAATATGTCTGTAAGACATCTTCTTTTCTGATTTAATCAGTTTAGTTGCTAGCACTTAAAATGTCATTAAAGTAGAGGTGAGTAGTAGTAATTGTTAAAGATAACTGAATCTTTCTTCAAGAATATCATAGAAAGATGGGCTTTTTTACATGACTTGCAAAAAAAAAGTCTTTTAAGGATACAATTATTCCTGTAGTGTAGACTGTTAAGTAATTGAGATATGTAGTATATATTATTAGTAGAAAAACATTAAGAAAAAACTTTTAAAAGCAAAATTTTACTTATATAATAATAACAGTAAAGTTTAAGATTCAAAATAACAGTTGATATTATGTGACGATTGGTAAATATAAGTAAAAGCTTATTCTTTTGTTAATAGCTTAATCAGTTATGGTTATCAAATCCATTTCAGCCTTCTCAGCTTATTAAATTGAAGGAAAATCTCTACTACAGTGCTACTCAGTGTGTTCTCTGTAGCATGTTAGTTTTAAAATGTTTGTTACTGATCTGTGATGAAATAAGTACATTAACCATGAAAAACACAGGGTTTGGGGCACTGATACCCTGTGCATTTGAAAGTCTGCATATAATTTGACTCCCAAAACTTAACTGTTAATAATCTGCTGCTAACTGAAAGTCTTGCTGATGATGTAGTTATATATGTTTTGTATGTTGTATGTATTATATACTGTATTCTTTTAATAAACTAAACTAGAGAAATGAAAATATCTTTGACAAAATTTTAAGGAAGAGAAAATGTATTTACTATTAATGATGTGAAGTGGATCATCCTGTGGTCTTCATCCTTGTCTTCATGTTGAATTGGCTAAGGAGGAGGAGTTGACCTTGCTGTCTTCGTGGCAGCAGTGGAAGAAAATTCACACATGAGTGGACTGGCACAGTTCAAATTCATGTTCAAATTCAGTTCAAATTCATGAGTGGACTGGCACAGTTCAAATTCAGCTGCATAGAAAATAAAAGTACATATTTAGAGACTTCTATACCAAGTTGATTAGAGTGAATCTATTAAATGTAATACTAAAAAGCTTGGTCTTTCATTTGATATGTCTTTAGTTTTTCTAGTAATTTGTTTTATTGTATTTTAAAGTAAATACAATAAAACACACCATTCTGTGGTGGACTGATAGCAAGTGCATACTTTACCACAGATAATTTGAGATGCACTGCTCTGGTGTGATCTGAAATTTCCCTGATAGAGAAGTGGACCTTTTTGACTGTCCTAAGATTCAGCACATTTGAACTGTACTTGTACTATTTGATTTTAAGGTTTACATTTTAAAATTTCAACTGTTGTACTAGAAACAAAGATTAAACAGTCTTTTTCCTTTGGAGTCTAGGAGACTTTTTCCCCATTGTATGGAATATTTTATTGTATGAAATTTACAGATTCGGGAAGAAGACAAAGATCCAGTCTATTTGTACTTTGAAAGTATGATGACTTGTGCCCGAGTTCGAATATATGAACGAAAAAAAGAGGAACGGAGACAACCATCCCCTTCCCCCTCCCCATCTCCATCATTTCAGCAACAGAGTTCATGTCATTCTAGTCCTGAGAACTGTAATGCAAAGGTGAGCTACTTGTTGCGTAATTTCTTTTTAACTTCCATTTCCCTGTTGTTGGTATTAGAATTTGCTTTAGTATCAGACTAATTAATCTGCCAATTAATCTGTCCTACTTCTTGTAAGACAGAAAAGGCTTACATGACGTGTATATCAGTTTATTTCTCTATGTACCTATTTTAGTGATCTATCTCTTAGGGTTTTTTTTTTTTTTTTGAGTTGGAGTCTCAGTCTCACCCAGGCTGGAATACAGTGACACACTAGTGGACGCCCCAACATCTACCTGCTGGGCTCTGGTGATCCTTCTGCCTCAGCCTTCCAAGTAACCAGAACTACAGATGCATGTTACCATGCCTGGCTAATCTTTGATTGTAGAAACAAGGTCTCACCAAGTTGCCCGAACTGGTCTCAAACCCGCGGGCTCAGGCAATCCACTTGCCTTGGCCTCCCAAAGTGCTGGGATTATAGACTGAGCCACTGAACCCGGCTAGGATTATTAAAAGTATTTTTCCTTTTTTTTTGAGTTGGAGTCTCACTCTGTTGCCCAGACTGGAGTGCAGTGGCCGCTCCCGGCCACCGCAGCCTCGACCTGCTGGGCTCTGGCAAACCTTACGCCTCAGCCTTCCAAGTAGCCGGAAATACAGGCATGCGCTACCACGCCCGGCTGATTTTTTGATTTATTGTAGAGATGAGGTCTCGCTACCCAGGCGGGTCTCGCACCCGCGGGCTCAGGCAATCCACTCACCTCAGCCTCCCAAAGGCGCGGGATTACAGCTGAGCCACCGAGCCCGGCTAAAAGTATTTTTCTTTTTGACCCTGGAATAATTTTTAAAACTTTCTGGTTTCAATTAAATTATTTATCTGTAATTATCAGGACTTGCATCTTCCCATGTTGGTGAATTTTCTGTATAACTGCAGCTTGTCCTGTGAAACATTTAATATTTTTCCTTCTTTATTAGAATATGCTATAAAGTATAATGTAAGTTATTTCTTTGATGACTCAGTCCCTATCAAGGAAGCAAGACTACTTTTGCCCTGATTTTATATGATAGTAATGTAGCTGTGTATGCAGATGTGAAGCTGTTAACATTTAATCATTCCACTGATTTAAGCTTCTGTGAGAGTTTTAATGCTTGTGTCCACGTTTCTTTAGATATTAAGTTTATGTTGAATTAAAGTATTTCTGTGTTATTTTCTTCTTTAGGAACCTGATTCTGAACAGCAGCCCTTAAAACAACTCACTTGTGAGTTAGAGGATGATTCTGATAAATCACAAGGTTGGAATAAAATCTAGATCTTATCATTTGTAGTAATTATATAGGTCTGGATTAAAAACCACCAATCCAGAATATGTCTACCTACTTTGTTTCTAGCAACTGCCAAAAATAGAGACAAAAAGTGAAAGTCTTTCTCCATTGTTTGGTCTCTTTAACATGTCTCCCAAAAATAAAATCCAGTCATGTTGATATGGCACATTGGTGCAAGAAAATGGAATAGTTACTTTAAAAGTTCAGTACATATTGCTGTGATGCAGAAATATCTTTCAATTTTCTTGATTAATGAATTTTTTTTAATCCTCTTGCCAAATCCCAGGAATATTGGCATTATTAGCTATTGAAATTTTCCCTTAGGTCCTCCATAACTGCCACCACTGGGGAAATGCAGAGGGAGAAAGGAAGAAATATGACTGATTTATCTAGAAACTACTGTCAGATTTGCTATGATGAAAGATAGTGATCAGGAACTTACCTGTTTGTTTTTGTTATGCTTCCCCCCTCCCCAGTTGGAGTCTCACTCTGTCGCCCAGACTGGAGTGCAGTGGCACACTCCCAGCCACCGCAGCCTCGACCTGCTGGGCTCTGGCAATCCTTTCTCCTCAGCCTTCCAAGTAGCTGGAACTACAGGCGTGCACTACCATGCCCGACTAATTTTTTTTTTTTATTTTTATTGTAGAGACGAGGTCTCGCCAAGTTGCCCAGGCGGGTCTCGAGCCCGCGGGCTCAGGCAATCTACTCACCTCAGCCTCCCAAAGCGCTGGGATTACAGACTGAGCCACTGAGCCTGGCTTATTATGCTTCTTAATACTGCTGACACCTAAGCAACAGTTCTTCCTTTTTTAACTATCGTGATATACACACAAATAAAGGGTAATGTTTTTATAGCACACTGAATTAAGTGGAAGAGGCTGCTGGACTGTAGGGAACCTGCCTGAGACATGAGCACCCTGAGAGGACTACAAGGGCTATGTCCTTCACATATCTGTAGTTGTAGCACATTGATTGGGAAGCTCTGATGTAGAAATCTAGGTGTCTGGTGAAATATATATCCAGTCAGCATGGCATATAGATAGAAATACATTGGGGAGTTAAGTGATCTGCATACAATGTAGAAATGGATCAATCCTATCTAGAGGTATAAAAGTAATTCAGAAGTATTTGCAGTAGAAATTAGAGGTAGAGTGCACTTAAAAATAAACATTAGAACACAATTTCCCTTGCTTTTTCTATATAGATAGCAAAATAGTAACCTGTACCAGTTAAGCTTAACATTGGTAATAGGCCATGCTTTGTTTGCAGCCCAACTTTAATATAATAGTTATGGCTGTTAGAGCAGTGTTAACAGACTCCCTATTTATTAGAGCCCAGTTAGCAGAATAGTGAAAACCATTGTTGTCAGATTCTTTGGGATCTTTCTTCCTGAAAATTCCCAAATTGTGAATGTCAAACATATATTAAGACACCAGTAAAAATACATGAGAATGGGACAGACTCTTTCAAAGTTCAGTACAGAATATTGTGGTGTAGAAATATCTTTCAATTTTCTTTTTATTTTTTAATCAGAAAAGAACTGGAAGTCTTCCTGCAATGAAGGAGAATCTTCTTCTACTTCATATATGCATCAGAAGTCACCTGGTGGTCCCACCAAACTAATAGAGATCATCTCAGACTGCAACTGGGAGGAGGATCGGAACAAGATTTTGAGCATCTTATCCCAGCACATCAATAGCAACATGCCACAATCACTTAAGGTGGGCAGCTTCATCATTGAGTTGGCTTCTCAGCGAAAGAGCCGGGGTGAGAAGAGCCCTCCTGTTTATTCTTCTCGTGTGAAAATCTCTATGCCATCATGTCAAGACCAAGATGATATGGCTGAGAAATCTGGATCAGAGACTCCTGATGGTCCATTGTCCCCTGGGAAAATGGATGATGTCTCTCCTGTGCAGACAGATGCTCTGGATTCAGTGAGGGAGAGATTACATGGAGGCAAAGGTCTGCCTTTTTATGCAGGGCTTTCTCCTGCAGGGAAGCTTGTGGCCTATAAACGTAAACCCAGTTCAAGTACATCTGGGCTTATCCAGGTGAGAATTATCTTTAATCTGGGTATAGCACCTTTTTATACTTAGGTAACATTTTTTAGAGCCCTTTATGGGCCTTATATCATTTATCTTTATATTTCCTGGGAACTGGGTGACAAAATCATCACTTTTTGTAATAGGCCTAGGTTAGATGCATACCTAGAATGAATTTTTGGCACATTTATAAACAAAAATGTAGAACCTTGTGTTAGTTTATAACTTTCTTTCTAGTCTTCCCAGAAAGTTGCTCTTTTTTTTTTGAGTTGGAGTCTCACTCTGTTGCCCAGACTGGAGTGCAGTGGCCGCTCCCAGCCACCGCAGCCTCGACCTGCTGGGCTCCGGCGATCCTTCCGCATCAGCCTTCCAAGTAGCTGGAACTATAGGCACACGCTACCACGCCTGGCTAATTTTTGATTTATTATAGAGATGAGGTCTCGCCAAATTGCCCAGGTGTGTCTTGAACCCGTGGGCTCAGGCAATCCACTCACCTCAGCTTCCCAAAGGTGTGGGATTACAGGCTGAGCCACCGAGCCCGGCTAGAAAGTTGCTCTTAAACTTCAATGCCTGGGCTCTAGTGACCCTTGGTCAACCAAGCAAAGATAATCAGGAGTTCAGTCTTTTTCTTGGAAATTATTATTGACAGATAGCTTTCAAAATAAAACCATGTTTGCAATGTTTAAGGGTAAGGGACAGATGAAATTGACTTTAAGGATAGATAGGATATATTTAGAAAGTTAGGGAAATTTTTAATTTAGTATGGTATTATTTAAATACATGAGGTTTAAAAATATTGAACCGCATTTACTTAATTCTTTTTATTTTTTGATTCATAAGGTTTTTGCCAGTGTAATCGTTGTAGGACAAATATTTTTATCCTTTCTGTTAAGTAATTAGGGCAGGTCATAAAATTACGCTAGCATCTAGAAAATTTGGAGAGAAGTCTGAATTAAAATGTAATTCATAGTCAAAAAGATTTTCTCCTCTTAGTGACATTAAAGGCACTTTTATATCAGACTAGGAATGTATGGAAGTGTCTGACATTGCGAAGGTCACTTGACTTTTATTAGATTGACTATTTCTAAGTCACTAAGAACTTTTCCATTAATAATATGACTGATCCACTTAATTAAAAAAACTTTGTATTGCAGTTTACTCTTGCTGGTGCTGTGTAAATGCTTCTGGTAGTATTTCTTAAACTCTTAATGATAAGGAGAACAGTGTTTTCTCTTTATTTATTGATTCATACTTTGAAAGCAGAGACTTGCCTGAGATCAATTCTAGATCTAGATACCAGACTCCCTAAGATACAAGCATAGAAATTTTATGTTCTCCTCTTCTGGTCAGAACTCATAAAGCCACCATAGAATGTAACTGCATTAGCTGTTAGGCACCTGTAATGTAGACTTTTGGGGAACCTGTTAAGTAGTTTTTGGAGCAATCCCAAGGGAGCAGGCTGGAGTCTCTAACCTAGTTTACATATAAAAACTCTAAAAAGCTAGAGTTTATTTTCAGGTGGAAAGATCACATTCTTTGGTAGCCAAACTTGAGACAGAGATATTTGTAATCTCTCAGGGAATAATCACAATTTTGCTTAAATAGCAAAGAGTAATTTTGTTTTCTGTCTTTGAAGATGGAGTAACTTGCTGTAGCTATTGTCCTTATCAATTCCCTGTTAATTTAGAGAGTAGACTCTATGTTACTGCATCTCCGTTTTACTTTTAAATTGTATAAAGGAGACATAGAAAAGGTTATCTTGTCTAGAGTCACCCAGCAGTATGATCTAGATGACATGGGTAAGAAACTTGGGAGGTTTTTGTCTTCTTTTGTTTTTTTGGGTTGAATTCTCACTCTGTTGCCCAGGCTGGAGTATAGTGGCCGCTCCTGGTCACCACAGCCTCGACCTTCTGGGCTCCGGCCATCCTTCCGCCTCAGCCTTCCAAGTAGCTGGAACTACAGGCGCGCACTACCACACCCAGCTAATTTTGATTTATTGTAGAGATGAGGTCTTGCCAAGTTGCCCAGGCGGGTCTCGAACCCGTGGGCTCAGGCAATCCACTCACCTCGGCCTCCCAAAGCGCGGGATTACAGGCTGAGCCACCGAGCCCGGCCCTTCTTTCTTTTCAAAAACACAAATGAAAAAACTAGGCTGCTATCCAGGATGGACAATATAATCAGCTCAGGCAGTAGAGAAAATCTTGTCTTACTCGTTGGTTCACGTTTTTTCTGACAGTTTAGTTACTTAGCTCTAGAATTATTCAGAATGAGTTTCTACTGGCATTTGTTTTGAGCCTACATTTTGTCTTAAGATGAAGACAATGCCTTTAAGGTCGAACCTTTGGAAAACAAAACTGAGGTAACTGTGGCTAAAGTTATTGTAATTATAGTTGTCTTGCAACTTAAAGTAGATTCACCATGTATTTTTCAAATACAGAGGATGCTTGAAAGGACCCTTGTGTGAGGGCTTCATTATGCCTCTCTGGTCTTCTCAGAGAGATTCTTTGGGACATAGATATTTATTTTTGCTGATGATTGTTAATAGCTTAACCAGAATTGCTTATTGACAAGTGAAATAATTGAATGATTTCAGTTGTTTAGATTTGACTGTATCTTTCACATAGTGATGATGCAGAAATGATGAGTTTCTAAGGTTCTCTGTTTCTAAAGCACATAATAAAGGGGATGAGATTAGTTCAAAATATCAGATTACAGCATTTTTTCACTGCCTGAGCACTCAGATTATACTGAATGGAAAAAGTCCATTTCTTTTTCCCTTTTAAATCTGAAAAGTAAACGTATAAAACCTTGTAAAAATGAAGCCCCTGTCAAGGGAGAGGAGTTAGCAAGAGAATTTTATCTTTACAGAATTTCTCTTTGCCACTTGTTTCAGGTTAATGGTAAGAGTTACCCGCAGGCTAAGTTGCTATTGGGACAGATGGGGGCATTGCATCCAGCCAATAGGCTAGCTGCTTATATCACAGGCAGGTTGCGACCCTCAGTCCTGGACCTCTCAACCCTCAGTACTGTCATCTCCAAGGTAGCATCCAATGCCAAGGTGGCTGCATCCAGGAAACCACGTACCCTGTTGCCTTCAACATCCAATTCCAAAACGGCATCCTCCTCTGGCACCACAACAAATCGTCCTGGGAAGAATTTGAAGGCGTTTGTCCCGGCAAAAAGACCAATTGGTAAGTTGGAATGTACATATGGTATGGAAAGGCCTTTGACTTGGTGCTGGACCAGTGGGTACAGGTAGGGAGGTTGTAAAAATTAGAACAATACATAATTTGGCATTGTTCTTATGCTTGGTGTCTGTCTGACTTGTCTAGATTAACAAAATTTTTTTTGGTTAGCTTTTCTGATGACCTACAGTGCTAGATGAATTGAATAGTTAGTTTTTGCAGTTATTTTCAAGGCTTTTAGACTGGTTTTATTTCTGTAGAAAAGACTTAGGATTTTAGTTTTGTGTTTAAAAGGAAGACATTTTAAAATATTTTCTCTAATTTAATATTTTTCTTATGAGGACTGGTGTTTTTGGCACTAATCATATGTATGTTACTTGAACTTATAAATCCAAGGAACTAGCAAAAGCTAGTGGGGTTGGTCAATATAGGCTCTTGTCAGCATAATTTTGGAAACATTGATTTATTCCGTTCATCCCTGTTCTGTGAATGAAAACCTTGTTTGTTTGACATTTCAGTGCTATAGTCTGTAATACATTACTTTATTGAAATATTTGTGTTTCAGCATTGAGAGTACCTATAGTTGGTTTTGAATTTCTCTTTTTGTTGCTTCAAATCTATTTAGAAATGTTAAGTAGAAGTGTTAATTGTGTATTCCTATTCCTCTAACAGGGCATTGAAATCTCTGGCTGAATGCTAGATTGTGTGAAGATAGAGGATGGGCATTGTGTGCCTTAAAAAGAATCTATTTCACCTTTTTTAAAAAAGCAGCTTTAATTTGATTTTGTTAAAAAAGCAGCCTGGGCACAGTGGCTCACGCCTATAATCCCAGCATTTTGGGAGACTGAGCCAGTAGGATTGCTTGAGACCAGAAATTCAAGACCAGCCTGGGCAAACGTAGTGAGACACCCCTTTATTTAAAAAAAAATTATTTAATAAACATTTTAAAAAAGCAGCCTTACCTTGCTTTTTTGAAAAATGTCTTTATATGTTTTAGAAATATGCAATACTTAACTGTCTCATAATAAGACAGACATAAGAGGTGGAAGTGCTGCGATTGGAAGAATGGTAGAAATAAATTTTTAAATTAGAATTAGGGAGAAAATATCTCCTTATTTTCTTTCATCTGTTTTAGGTGATGAAGTTGTTGTATTGTCTTTAGTGTCTTCACGATTTGAATTTATTTCATAGTCAACGAATTTTAGTAGTGACACCCCGTTTTTATCCCTTTTTAGAATTATAAGGGTTTGTTTTGGGTTGAGGGAAGTGTTTCATTTCTGTGGGTGGAAATTGGCACCAATAATGTAGGTAGACCGTACCTATAAGTAATTTTCCCAGTGGTGCACAGTAAATGTTGATAAGCACAGTCACTAAGGATAAAATATGAGAACTGAAGATTTTTGACCTGCAAATTTTTATTTGCAGCGGCTCGACCCTCTCCTGGTGGTGTGTTCACACAGTTTGTGATGAGTAAAGTTGGAGCCTTGCAGCAGAAGATACCTGGAGTTAGCACACCCCAACCCCTAACAGGGCCACAGAAGTTCAGTATCAGACCTTCTCCAGTAATGGTCGTCACACCTGTGGTTTCTTCTGAGCCAGTTCAGGTGTGCAGCCCTGTGACTGCTGCTGTCACTACTACTACCCCTCAAGTGTTATTAGAAAATGTTACTGCTGTGACACCTATGACTGCTATTTCTGACGTGGAAACTAAAGAAACTACTTATTCTGCTGGTGCCACCACTACAGGGGTTGTTGAGGTCTCTGAAACTAATGTCAGCACCCCTGTAACATCTACCCAGTCTACAGCCACTGTGAACCTTACCAAAACCACTGGGATAACTACCCCTGTGGCTTCAGTTGCTTTTCCTAAGTCTTTAGTAGCGTCTCCTCCAACCATAACTCTTCCTGTTGCTTCCACTGCCTCCACCTCCATAGTCGTGGTGACCACAGCTGCATCTTCCTCCATGGTGACCACACCAACTTCATCTCTGGGCTCTGTTCCTATTATACTCTCGGGAATTAATGGGAGTGCACCAGTGAGCCAGAGACCAGGTAAGGCCTAGATGTTACTAGGTGCTTTATTACTGTACAGCTATGTATATAATTTTGTGGTTGTGGTACATTATAGATATATCAGGGTAACAGTGAAGGTATTTCTGCTATAGCATGATACGTGTATTTCTGAAAATCTTTGCATTCTGCAAAACTGAACACTAAAAGTACACTAAAAATAATGGAACTGGTGGTTAATACAAGGTTAGGACAAATCACTGAAAATCTGTGCAGTTTTGCAACCAGAGCATTAATAAACATAATAACTGAGACCTTAAGAGATACCTTGAACAGCTTTGACTGATGGTTTAGTGGGACTGGAGGTTGCTACTCAAAATACTTAAAAACATTAGAATGGAAATGCTGACTGAAATAATGCAGATGGGACCAGAGCACCGAGCCATTAGAGCAACCATTAAGGTGGGTATGGGAGGAAGAACAACCTGCTGTCTGCTGAGATCCAGGGGTGCATATCTTTGAGGAGGGATTCAGCACCAAAATTCAGGTTTGGGATGGGGTGCTGCTTTTGATTAAAAAGACAGATGAGAGGGCTTCTGTCTATGCTGCAGCCAAACTGAGGAATTTTTCTTTCTTGATGAAGATTAAAATATACTTCTTCTATTCTAATTCCTGTTGTCTAGTAAAAATCTTTTAGGAATCAGCACTCGTTTAATTTTTGTACATTAAGAATTGAAACAGATAAGGAGGCGTACTTGTTTAGAGCTGTAATATTTTATCAACTTTTTAGTTAAGCTTAAAATTTTTCTCTTGCTGACTTAGGCTAAGTGCATTTGAAATTGGAACTTTGATAATTTTTTAATTTTCAAATGTAGCTAACTAGAATAAAAGGTTCTTTTAGTCTACTCAAAGAGGAGTGAATGTGGAAAAGAGTGAGCGACTTTGCAGGATTTGAGGAGAAATAAATACCCAACAGCAATTCTGTCTTGATTATTGTTTTTTCGATGAAATATGTTTGCATTTAGTGACATGGTTCAAATCCCTGGCTATCTTTTAGGAAAGAAGTTATTGGGAATTAGTTTGTAAGTTGAAGTCCTGTTGAAAGGAAAAGTGAATCACAGTATTGAATTTGCTTGACTTCAGCTTCTTCCCATAAATAAGCCTGTAAAATATGATTAGCTTAATATATAATTTGGAAGTGAGGTAGTTGTTGCTTTGATTTCCAATTGAATCTCAAGGTTCATATCTGTTGTAGTTTAACAGATCATGACTTCTAAACCACATGAATTTAACCTTTCTCTATACTCTTAATTCTATCATAAAAGAATGAAGTAGTTTATTCTTTTGTGGTTCCATTGTTTCTCAGACTTTATTCAAGACATGTATTTAGACATTTTGCTCTGAGTCCCATCGTTACTATTATTTGCATAGTATTTTTTATTTAAATCAACTACTTTTTAACTGAAATGTGTTTTAAAAAGAGACAATTTTAATTTGAAGCCAGCATTGCTTGCCATAATAGAAGTTAACCATATAAATAAATATACTGGAAACAATAATAAAAAATACTCCTGTTAGCTACTATATTTTCTGAACATGTGACTTGCTCTTTTTCTCTGAATGAAGAAAGATAGACAATACTGGTGTAATATTAAAGACACAATATCAAAGACCGGTACCTAAACATATTTTCTGTAATACCACTTGAGGAAATATTAATGTTATTTTATTTTACTTTAGATTCAAGGGGTACATACATGTGCAGGATTGATATGTGGGTATATAGCATGATGATGAGGTAGAAATATTAATGTTAACAAATTTTCTTATCTTTCTTTTATAAGTAGATCTGTTCAGATAACTGTTACTTCTAAGGAAGTGTGTGTAATTTTGTTTTCCATTCATAAAGAGGATCCCACCTTGGGCCTTAGATATCTGTGTCTTTTTTTTTGAGTTGGAGTCTCACTATGTCGCCCAGACTGGAGTGCAGTGGCCGCTTCCGGCCACCGCAGCCTCGACCTGCTGGGCTCCGGCGATCCTTCCACCCCAGCCTTTCAAGTAGCTGGAACTACAGGCGCGCGCTACCACGCCCGGCTCATTTTTTGATTTATGGTAGAGATGAGGTCTCGCCTGCCCAGGCGGGTCTCGAACCCGCGGGCTCAGGCAATCCACTTACCTCAGCCTCCCAAAGGTGCGGGATTCCAGGCTGAGCCACCGAGCCTGGCTTCTATGGCTTTTTTATTTGATTTCGCACCTTTTCCCTTTTCCCTTTCTTTTCCTTGCCCACATTTAAATAACCAGTCACATATTTAGTATGTATATTATAGATTGCTTTTGTTCTCTGAATCGGAATAATTGAGATTTTGAATCACTCTCTAAAACTTAAGTTCAAGAAATTAAGAATGCATTAACATGTTTCTTTCTCTTTCTTTTTTTTTTTGAGTTGGAGTTTTACTCTGTCACCCAGGCTAGAGTGCAGTGGCACATTCATAGCCACCACAGCCTCGACCTGCTGGACTCAGGCAATCATTCCACCTCAGTCTCCCAAGTAGCTGGGACTACAGGCACTCGCCACTACACCTGGCTAATTTATTTATTGTACGGACAAGGTCACATCAAGTTGTCCGGGCTTGTCTTGAACTCTTGGGATCAGGCAATTTGTTTCTTAATACACATAAGATAGATGAATATTTTTTGCTTAAATTGTAGACTGTTGTTTTATGAACACTTGGTCTTTGTTTTTTATTTATTTATTTATTTATTTTTTTAGTTGTAGTCTTACTCTGTTGCCCAGACTGGCGTGCAGTGGCTCACTCATGGCCACCACAGTCTCGACCTTCTGGGCTCAAGTGATGCTTCCTCCTCAGCCTTCCAAGTAGCTGGTATCACAGGCGTGTGCCACCATGCCTGGCTGATTTTTTTAACTTATTGTAGAGACTGGGTCTTGCCATGTTGCTCAGGCTGGTCTCAAACCCTTGAACTCAGGTAATCCTCTTGCCTTCGCCTCCCAAAGTTCTGGGATTACAGGTGTCAAACTGCTTAATTTCATTAAGAGTCCTGGATTTTCTGTGTATTCTGTCATCTAAATGTTATGAACATGCTTTCTTTTAGAAATTTGAAACGTTTTGTGGGCAAAGTACCTGTGTGATAGAAACTCACACGTTAAGCTAAACTCTTTCTTTAGTTTGTGGATTTTTTTTTTTCAATTAACAAACTATTGAAGTTTTATTTATTAATATTAAATAATCAGTTTGAATTAGCAGTGCTAGATCAGTTTTATTTATGCTATGTTACCATTATTCCTACTTTTATCGTTGTGATCCCCCCCAAAAATCTGCAGATTATTCTATTTTTTCCCATGCCTTAGTATTTTTAAATATCTCTTTTAATCGTTAGAGAGCATCTTTATGTGCTATTGATGGTTTAAAATCCCTTTTAATTCATATCTTCTGTGTTAAATTTCAGCATTTTTTGTTTTAAAACTATCTTTTCCTAACCAGGCTTTATTTCCCTGCTTCTTTAATGTTTCTTAATTTCATTCCATTATGGGAGATACATGTATTTATATTTTCTTTTTCTGAAATATAATTTTCACAAATCTTTCTGCTTTGCATATTTGTTAGCGAATTTAAAAGCCAAGAAGCCCTTTATACTAAGGATTTTTAGTCTTTGACTTAATCTTTATCAGGTGTAAGTTGTGAAACTCAGTCATAAGTCTTGTAAGTGTTACCAGCCTCAATTTTTAAAGTTGAAGGAGATAATTTTATCATAAATGATCTCTTTAACAGGAGCCCAGAGTTAGAGGCCTACCCATGATTTCATTAGGTAAAAACATAATCTCTTTAAATGCACCTCTTTTTTTTTTTTTTTAAAGCAGTTTTCTAACTGTAATGCTTCACAGTGTCTGGCTAATTACTTGAGTTTAAGATAAATAGTGTATGGGGTACAGGATTTCACCAACTTTATAATTCAAATTAGAAGTTATTTTCAGGAAGATCAGATTCTGTGGCTTAATAGTTTTTTCTTGTATGTGTTACAGGAGAATTTTTGATAACTATGTTTTCATTTCCTGTTTTTCAGAAAATGCCGCTCAAATTCCAGTGGCTACTTCACAGGTCTCTCCTAACACAGTGAAACGTGCTGGACCTCGACTGTTGCTGATTCCAGTGCAGCAGGGTTCTCCTACTCTTAGACCTGTCCCAAACACACAACTTCAGGGTCATCGGATGGTCTTACAGCCTATTAGAAGTCCAAGTGGAATGAACCTCTTCAGGCATCCTAATGGGCAGATTGTTCAACTCCTACCTTTGCATCAGCTTCGAGGCTCTAATACCCAGCCCAACTTACAGCCTGTTATGTTTCGGAACCCAGGTATAAAGTTGGAGATGTTTCTGAAGAGTTCTTTCTTTTGTTGAATCATTTGACCATATGGGATGTTAATACCAGGATTGTTTTTCTTTCTTAGTCCCTGTGCAAAAAAGAAAAGCAAACCTTCAAGTCTTGATATGGGCAATGATAATTTAAATGTTTTTTTTTTTTCTCCTTTTTTTTAAACTAGGGTCTGTGGTAGGAATCCGGCTACCTGCTCCTTCCAAACCCTCTGAGACTGCATCATCTTCTGCTTCGTCCTCTGCTTTCTCTGTTATGAATCCTGTAATTCAGGCTGTTGGGTCTTCTCCCACAGTGAATGTTATCACTCAAGCACCGTCGTTGCTTTCCTCCGGACCTAGTTTTGTGTCTCAGGCTGGTACATTGACCCTGAGGATTTCTCCTCCTGAACCACAAAATTTTGCAAATAAAACAGGCTCTGAAACCAAAATAACCTGTAGTTCAGGAGGACAGCCTGCTGGTACAGCCAGTCTTATTCCTCTACAATCTGGTAGTTTTGCCTTGTTGCAGCTCCCTGGACAAAAGCCTGTTCCTAGCTCCATTCTTCAACATGTTGCTTCCCTTCAGATGAAGAGAGAATCCCAGAATGTGGACCAGAAAGATGAAACAAATTCTATAAAAAGAGAACAGGAAGCTAAGAAAGCTCTACACTCAGAAGGAGAAGCTGCAGACCCTGAGTCAAGTATAATAAAGCAAAACTCAGGAGCTGCTGCCTCAGAAGAAACCCTGCATGATTCCTTGGAAGACGAGGGAGATCATTTGGATGAAGAATGCCTTACAGAAGACAGTCCTGCAACTGTCAAGCCTTCTGTGCATTCCTATATCACTGGGTCACACACAAGTGAAGACGATAAAGATACCAATGAAGAATGTGGGACTAGGAAGCCTTGCAGTTCCAAAGAAAAACTGACTGTTCTGGAAGTTAGGACCATTTCTGAAAAAGCCAGTAATAAGACAGTTCAAAATATAAGTAAAGTACAGCTTCAAAAACTTGGTGATGTAAAGGTAGAACAACAGAAAGGATTAGATAGTCCAAAGGAAAAATCAAATGAACTTCCAGTCATCTCTAAGGAAGAAAGTAAACTTGAATTATCAGGTAGTAAAGTTGTGGAGCAGCAGTCTAACCCACAACTAGAGGCCAAGGAGAAGGGATGTGGAGACTCTCTGGAAAAAGACAGTATTAAGGAGAGATGGAGAAAACATCTGAAGAGCCCCTTGTCCCGGAAATGTGTTGGAGCATCACAGGAATGTAAGAAAGAAGCGGATGAACTGTTAACTAAGGAAACAAAGCTGGGTCAAGAAAATTCAGATGTGTTTCAGCAAGAACAAGTCATCTCTGACTTATTTGGAAAAAGTGGTACTACTGAGGATGTTCGAGTTTCAAAAACTGAATGTGATTCTTGGAGTAGAATTTCTAATTCTCCAACCTTCTCCATCGTTCCTAGGAGAGCTACGAAAAGTAGCAGAGGGAATGGACATTTTCAGGGCCACTTACTGCTCCCAGAACAGTTACAACCAAAGCAAGAGATGAAGGATGGGAGAAACAGTGCTGACTTCACTGTTTTGGATTTGGAAGAGGAAGATGAGGAAGATGAGAATGAGAAGACCGATGATTCTATTGATGAAATTGTGGATGTTGTTTCTGACTACCACAGTGAGGAGGTTGATGATGTAGAAAAGGTGGTGAGCTCATTTTTGTTGTGACTGAACAAGGATTTAAATGATTTATTAGAGACAGTAGGCTTTCCAGAAGATCTCTAAGACCTAATACATTCAGTTGGATGCCTAGGTTTAGATTATAATTAAATAATTTTGTAGGTTTTGGGCTGTGTCAGTCAGGCAACATTTATTGAGCTTATATTATTCTTTGAGACTTGTCTGGTATTTATTGGAAGACTGGCTTAAGCTTTTGGGGAATAGATGCTCGAGAGTCCCCTACCAAGTTAGATTTACAAAAATAAAGCCTGAAACCACTCATCCCATTCGATATCAGTCAGTTTCTGTGACATTTTTTGTGGTTGAAGCTTTCATGTCTGGTAGATATAAGAAGCTGGGAATGGGTAACCTTAGAACTGGATAATTTATCTACCTGCATTTAGAGAGATTTTTTTCTTTTTTGGAGAAAAACTGGAAAATACCATCTAATGTTTTAATTATAATTCTGCCTGAAGTTACTTTTTAATTATCTCCTAAAATTAAATATTTAGTCTCTAGAATTTATATTATAGAGTTTGGTCATCATCCTTTGTAATATGACCATTACAGTCTTATTTTTATTACTTTCCTGAAGCATTTTTATAGACTTCTATTTAAGGTTGTATTTACTGAACTAAGTAACTATCAGATAAGATGTAGTGCAGAAGTTGGACAAACTTTTTTTGTAAAGGGCCAGATGGTAAATATTTTAGATTTTGCAGGCTAGTTGGCTCTCTGTTTTAACTACTTGACTGCTGTTGTAGCTTGAAAGCAGCCACAAACAATACATAGTGAATAAGTGTTGCTATATTCTACTAAAACTGTACTTACAAAAACAGGGAGTGGACTGTGGCTTGCTGACCCCTGACAGGGTCTAATGTAAAACATAAGAAGACCACAGCCTGTGGCGGTGGCCCTGAAATCGAAACTATATCTTTCTTTTCAGGAGCAAAAAGATAGCCCTCTGCACTGATTGTCCTGCAACTGCTTGTTTTAGAATCTCACTTCCTTCACCCTGTGTTATCTGGTCCTTCTCTGTTAATGCTTAACTGCCTCATGCACATAAAATATAACAAAAATATTGGTACTAAAATTAGTACATAAAAATTAGTACATAAAATATAACAAAAAGATTAGTACTAAGACTCTAAAATGTTTAAATAGTTTAATATTCTTGTATTGGTTGTTTCAAGTACCTGAGTTGTCTTATTTATAAATCAGGATCTAGCTCTAAAGTTGGATGAGCCTATATATATTTATCTTATACTTTCTCTATAGCCTAGTCCTTTTCAAGGATGGATAACTGTAGGTAGCTGAGGGATCTATATTTATTGAGTTTAGGAGTTATGTTGTAGATCTTACTGTGTTTTGTGCAGTCTTCTGTTGTAAGTCAGCCCAGGTAAACATCAGGCTAAAAAGCAGTCCAACTTTAAAACCAGTGAAAACTATTGCTATTAGTAGAACTGACTTAATAGAATCTTAGTGTGTCTTAATCATACAAGGAGGCATTACTTGAATGTACCAATAGGGAATCAGACCAGCAAGTTACACTGACTTTTTTTTAAAGTAAGGGCATAAGGCCGGGCTTGGTGGCTCAGCCTGTAATCCCAGCACTTTGGGAAGCCGAGGCGAGTGGATTGCTTGAGCTCACGGGTTCAAGACCCACCTGGGCAACTTGGCGAGACCTCGTCTCTACAATATATCAAAAAATTAGCCGGGCGTGGTAGCGCGTGCCTGTATTTCCAGCTACCTGGAAGGCTGAGGCGGAAGGATCGCCGGAGCCCAGCAGGTTGAGGCTGCGGTGGCCAGGAGCGTGCCATTGCCCTCCAGACTGGGCAACAGAGTGAAACTCCAACTCAAAAAATAAATAAATAGATAAAACTAAAGTAATGGCATTATATTAAGTGATCTCTAAAATCTAAATTCTACATTGCATTTATGTTCGTGTCCCATGCCTATGTTATCTTTATACTTATGACTAGCATTGTTTTGGGATACTATGAGGAAAGTTATGAGTAGCTTCTTTAAATATTTCATTGTGGAAGGATATCACTGGATATTATTTACAAAGCCTGCATTTAAAACCACACAGTAGACAGACATTCTTCAATTTAAATATTGTAAAGCATCTACCTACATTATTACCTGCTGAGACTCTGTTGATTTTGTTACCTAGAGTTAATTTTAACACACATTTAAAAAATTTAATATACATTGTTTAAATTGTGCTTAAATTGGAGATGGGGACATAAATGATGACTTGAATTTAGTGTTTTATTAACCTTATGGAGCCTATAATTTGAGGGTAAGTAATTTTTCCAACAAATTGAAGTAGAAAATAAGGTGATTGGGCTGCTTCATTTTGAGTTGTGCCTCTCTGATACAGTATGATTATAGCTATAGTTTCTGGCATAGTAAACACTACTTTTAAAGGTGGACTTAATATCTGCTTATCCCATAGATCAATCTAATTCTACTGTTAATATAGACTATTCAGCAAGTTTCTGTGATCGATGCTCAATAAATGCTTACTTGATTGACTCCTTCTTTGGTATAATAAGGAATTACAGCAGTCCTGGGCTTTTTTAAAACTAGAAGTACCTCAAAAGCTCTCATTTTGTGGGGTTGAGAGACTTGGAAAACTGAGGTATATTCTGTTTTCATACTTGCCTGTGTATGTTAATGTTTATTGATTTCTGGGTGTCTGTTACAGTGTTAGTCATGAAGTTCCCTTAAAATAGAGTCTACATTTTTCTCCTTTCTACCTTTTCTCTCACCAAATTTTATTTTTCTGTCATTTGATCTTAAGATGTATAGTGCCTTAATATCTGTTTCTGAATTTTGTTTACTACAAATAACACTGAAGCATCAGTGTAGCCCTTTGGGGACTCTGTTCAGTCTAAATGATGTCTTTTTAATATATCTGTGACTTATAACATAGTTCTTGGTTGTTAATTCTAATTATATGTTATCTTTCTGACTTAATTCCTTATAATTAACAACCTTAGGATTATCAGTACTCACGGTATAAGATCAGTGATTGGCACTAGTTGATTTCATAAGGGAAACATGCAGTTGAAAATTTAGGTATGCTTGCCTCCCAATGCATTATTTACTGTTGTAATGATGTATTTCAGAATAACTGTGTAGCATACATTGAGGATGATGAGGAGCAGGTGGACATTGAAACTGTAGAAGAGCTCTCAGAGGAAATTAATGTTGCACACATGAAGACCACAGCTGCCCACAAACAGTCATTCAAACAGCAGTAAGTCTTATTTCTCTTTGGATTGCTGTTTATGTTGTTGTTATTGTTGCTTTGTAACCAGAAACAAAACATTTATGTTCTACTTAGGGGCTCTGGGTAACTGACATGGTTTCTTTATTCCATTAACTTTTTTCTGACTAGTATAGATGAGGAATAGAAGTGGAATTTGGAGGTAATTAACTTGTCTTGGTCATTGCTAGGAGGCAGTAAATAACATGCTTTTGGAACCTGATATATTGGTGCTAGAAATACTAGTTTTGCTAGTTTATAGGGTATTTAGCCTTGTGTGAGTCTTTAATCTCTCTGAATCTTAGAGTCTTCACCTAAGAAATGAGAAAAATACCCCCATTTGAAATAAGTGAGATAATATATGCAACTAGCATAACAACTGACAAAGTGGACTACTCAATAAGGATTAGGCTATTTTTTAAGAATAAAACATTACTTTTCTAAATTTGGTCACTTTATTAGTTGAGCAAGTGAGATACAAGTAGGAATGTTTCTTCCTGTTCTACTGATGAGATGAAAATATGGAGGACCTGAGAATTTGCTCAGGAAAATTTATTTCATTTTCTGTTTTAATATTCTGTTTTGTATTGATTATGGATTGGGGTGTGAGAGAGAGAAAGGAAGATATGAGTTCTTATTTTGTGGCAGACATTGTACTTTCTCCATTATCCCATTAATTACCACATGAAAGTAGCAGTGAGTTGAGGAAGAGTCATTAATTTTTCATCCCTACTGGTACTGAGAAAGCTGAAGGGGTAGAAAGTAGGACGGGTTGGTTTTTTTTCACTCTAGAACAACTTGTAGTTTACTTCAGTTACCTACTGGTTAAGCTTGAAAGAGTTTAAATTCCTTAAAATTTTAATTAGATTTAATAAGTTCAGTAGTATTGCCAGATAGTAAGTTCTATATACTGAAACTGAGTTTTGAAACAGGAGCAACTAACAAAAAAGGTAACCTAAAAATTTCATTTACAGTAGTAACAGGAAAAAAAGCTGTCTTGAAATATATCTAAGCCGGGCTCGGTGGCTCAGCCTGTAATCCCGCGCTTTGGGAGGCTGAAGTGAGTGGATTGCCTGAGCTCGCGGGTTCGAGACCCGCCTGGGCAACTTGGCAAGCCCTCATCTCTACAATAAAAAAAAAAAAAAAAAATTAGCCGGGCCTGGTAGTGCCCGCCGTAGTTCCAGCTACTTGGAAAGCTGAGGCGGAAGGATCGCCAGAGCCCAGCAGGTCGAGGCAGCATGGTTGGCTCCATGTTTTTACTGTTGTGAATAGTGCTGCAGTAAACATGTGTGCACAGTTATGTTTTTTGTAGAATGATTTGCATTCTTCTGAGTCTATTCGCAGAAGGGGAATTTCTGGGTTGTATAGAAGGTCAGTTTTTATATCTTTTAGAAATTGCCACACTGTTTTTCTTTGAGGTGGTACTAATTTACACTCCCGCCAGCAGTGTAGAAGCGTTCCCTTTTCTCCATGTCATTTTCAGCACCTTTCTTTTGAGTTATAAGTTAGGTGGTTTTGATTTGCATTTTTTTGATGATTAGTAAGGCTTAGCATTTTTTCATGTGTCTGTTGACTGTATCTTCTTTTGAGAAGGGTCCTCATATCTTTTGCCCACTTTTTAATAGGACTGTTTGTTTCTTTTATTTTTCTTTTTGTCCTTTTTTTCTTTTTCTTTTCTCTTGGCACATTTGAGTTCCTTGTAGATCCTGGATGTTAGGCCTTGTCAGATATACCGTTGGCAAATATTTTTTCTCATTCTGTGAGCTGTCTCCCAACTCCCTCGATGGTTTCTTTTGCTTTGCAGAAGCCTTTCAGTTTGATGAGTTCCCACTTGTCTGTCTTATCTGTGGCCTGGGCATTTGAGGGTTTTGATCAGGAATTGGTTACCTATTCCAGTTTCTGTAAGAGTGTCTCTTGTGTTTTCTAAGAGTTTTATAGTTTGAGGTTCTACCTTTAGGTCTTGGAATCCTTGTTAGTAGCAAGGTTATTAAAAAATTGTTCCAAATTAGTAAGAAAAAGGCGATCCAGTAGAAAAGTGAGTAATGGCAGTTTACAGAAGAAGAAACTGAAAAGACCAAGTAAACACATGTGAATTTATTCAACTTCATAAGTAATGAGGGAAATGCAAATTAAACCACAATGACTTTACCACTTCAAACCCTAAGATTGGGAAACAGTGAGAATAGTACTATTATCTAGGTATAGAGCCATAGGAACTCACAAACTGCAGGTTGAGAGTGTAAATTATTAGCAGTTTGATATTTACTAATGTTGAAGATGTGCATACCTTTCTTCTACTTAGCAGTTCTACTCCTAGATACATACTCTAGAAAAACTCAGACATATCTTTAAGGCTTGGTCATGTATGAGACTATGCATTGCAACATTGTTTGCTTTGTGAAGACTTGGAAACAACCTAAATAATTACTAAAATTCTGAAAAAATAAATTTTGAAAAATTCACACTATGGAATACAGTACAGCAGTTAAAATGATTGAACTAGAACCATGTGTATCATCAGCATATCTATGGTGTAATAGAGTGAAGCAAATCAGTTGCAGAAAGTTACTGTATAATATATGCTATTTAAAATAGTCATTTTTTTGTTTAGAGATATATATTTCTAGTAAAACTGTAAAGATATGCCCGGCAAACTCAGTCTGGAAGTGTTTACCTGTGAGAAAAAAGGAAGGGAATGTGACTGAGTAAATTGTACATAGGATCTTCTCTCCCTTTTTTTGACCTGTCCCCTTGTCCTCCCCCACAATTGCCTCTGTTTTTGAGATATGTTATTTCTCAAGCTGGATGGTACATACTTGGGTGTTCATTATACAGTTGGCCTTCCCCATAAGTGGGTTCTGTATCTGTGGATTCAAACAATCGCAAATTGAAAGAAAATATTTGAAAGAAAAAACGTATCTGTATTGAACATGTATGGACTTTTTTTTCCTTGTCATTATTTCCTAAACAATGCTGTGGAACAACTATTTACTTAGCATTTACATTGTATTAGGTATAACAACTAATCTGGAGATGTTTTAAAGTACACAGGAGGGTGTTCATAGGTTATATGCAAATACTGTACCATTTTATATCAGATACTTGAGCCTCTTAGGATTTTGATATCTGCTGGAGGTTCTATAACCAATTCCCCACTGATACTGAGGGACGACTGTATATTTATACAGTTTTGTATGTCTGTAATATGATTGAAAAACTAATTTGCAATTTTAGTGACTATTTGCATACTTTTTCTTAGAGAAAATAAATAATGTTAAGTAAATAGTGTGGCCATATATCATGCATTGGGGAAAAGAAGCTGGCTATAATTTAGGATGATTTGGTTTAATATATCTGTGAAATAGGTATTAGATGATGGTGCAGTAAGACACTGAAAAATATTGTCTTTATATAGGTGCCGTGCCCATGCCTCTGCAGATGAAAAAGCAGCTGAAAGGAATCGAAAGGTATTTAGAATATATTTAGTAATACTTGTTTAATAAAATTGATAACATTTAAGGTTGAAACAATATTAGTTATATTAGTCATTATTTGTTTTTCAGGGTTATTTTTACCAGTGATAATCAGCTTTCTTCCCTTAATGAAATTATGCTATTAATGTTTGTTTTTTTCCTCTTAATTCTTCTGTTCCCCCCAGAGGAAAGACTAATTCAGAGGAAGTAAAATGGATATGGAATTTATAAAAATTGATGTGCTTATTTGAAATTAATTTTGGTAATGTAATGATTTGATGTAAAACAAGCTGTCTGTTTTTCTTGCCTAGGCTCATGATTTTCAGTGACTTAAAATTACTCTCAGCTGGGCGTGGTGGCTCAAGCCTGTAATTCCAGCATTTTGGGAGGTCCAGATGAGGGGATCGTCTGAGCCCACAGGTTTGAGAACAACCTGGGCAACTTGGCGAGACCTCATCTCTGCAATAAATAAAAAAACTAACCAGGCATGATAGTACGTGCCTGTAGTTCCAGCTACTTGGAAGGCTTAGTTGGAAGGATCGCTTGAGCCCAGCAGGTTGATGCTGGGGTGGCCATGAGCATGCCATGGTACTCCAGCCTGGGTGGGACAGTGAGACTCCAACTGAAAACTTTCTTTTCTCTGGGGTTGGGCGCCGTGGCTCACGCCTATAATTCCAGCACTTTGGGAGGCCAGGGGGAGAGGATTGCCTGAGCCCACGGGTTCAAGACCAGCCTGGGCAACTTGCCGAGACCACATCTCTACAATAAGTCAAAAAATTAGCCAGGCATGGTGGCGTATGCCTGTAGCTTGAGCTACTTGGAAGGCTTAGTCAGAAGGATCACCTGAGCCCAGCAGGTTGATGCTGCTGTAGCCGTGAGTATGCCACTGCACTCCAGGCTGGGCAACAGAGTGACTCCAACTCAAAAAAAAAAAAATTATTCTCTGCATTGATGACTAGCAGTTCAAGGAAATTGTAAACCTTTTTTCATTTTTTTAAATGTAGCATGGTAGCATAATTAAGCAGGATTTTCTGTTTATCTAACAATAGGAGTGGAGGAGAGTTTAGTTGTTTAAATCATTTTCTTTAAGAGATAAAGATGCTGGGTGCAGTGGCTCAAGCCTTTCATCCCAGCACTTTGGGAGGCAAAGGCAAGAGGATTACCTGAGCTCAGGGGTTTGAGACCAACCTGGGCCACTTGGAGAGACCTCGTCTCTACAATAAATTAAAAAAAAATAAGCTTGGTGGTAGCGTGTGCCTGTAGTTCCAGCTATTTGGAAGGCTTAAAGCGGAAGGATCACCTGAACCCAGCAAGTTGAGGCTGCAGTGGCTGTGAGTGTGTCACTGCATTCCAGTCTGGGCAACAGAGTGAGACTCTGACTCAGAGAAAACCTATAATAAACATGATGGGAGTTGAGTTGAGAAGGGGGAGGGTGGCATTTAGGGCCTTTAAAATGAAAATCATAGTATGGTTTGTTTCATTTTTATATGATTTGAGGATCATATAAATATTTGCACGGTTGTAATCATTTTATATATTTTACTCTCTTTTTTTTCATTTATTCTAAAACATTTTTCAGATATAGTAAGAATTTTCAGGCTAGGAACAGTGGTTTATGTATGTAATCCTAGCACTTTGGGAGCCTGAGGTGGAAGAATCGCTTGAGCCTGGAAGTTCAAGACCAGCCTGGGCAGCTTAGTGAGACCTTGCCTCTACCTCCCCCAACATAGTGAGACCTTGCCTCTATCCGCCCCCCCCCCGAAATAGCCAGGCATAGTGGCATGTGCCTGTAGTCCCTGCTACTCAGGAGTCTGAGGAGGGAGATTGCTTGAACCCAGGAGTTTGAGGCTGCAGTGAGCTATGATCATGCCACTATACTTGTAATCTGGGTGACAGTGAAACTTAACTAAAAAAAAATTTTTTTTGCCGGGTGCAGTGGCTCACATCTGTAATCCCAGCACTTTGGGAGACCAAAGTGAGAGGATTGCCTGAGCCCATGGGTTCGAGACCAGCCTGGGCAACTTGGCGAGAACTTGTCTCTACAATAAATTAAAAAAAAAAAAGCCAGTGCACTCCAGGTGCATGCCTGTGGTTCCAGCAACTTGGAAAGCTGAGGCAGAAGGATTACCACAGCACATCAGGTTGAAGCTGGGGTGGCTTTAAGTGTGCCTCCGCACTCCAGCCTGGGCAACAGAGTGAGACTCCAACTCCAAAAAAAAAATTCAACCAGGCTCGGTAGCTCAGCCTGTAATCCCGCGCCTTTGGTAGGCTGAGGTGAGTGGATTGCCTGAGCCCGCAGGTTTGAGACCCGCCTGGGCAGCGAACCTCATCTCAATAAATCTACAATAAATCAAAAAATCAGCCGGGCGTGGTAGAACATGCCTGTAATTCCGGCTACTCGGAAGGCTGAGGTGGAAGGATCTCTGGAGCCCAGCAGGTCGAAGCTGCGGTGGCTGTGAGCGGCCACTGCACTCCAGTCTGGGTGACAGAGTGAGACTTCAACTCAAAAAAAAAAAAAAAAATTCATAATAGTATTACTTGCAAATACTTGCAGCACTTTGCTGTATTTAAACTTGTTATTGATTTTCTTCCGATCTTGTTGCATCTTTTATTCTCCCATTCTGTATTAATGCATAATAGGTTTAACTTTAGAAAGACAACAGCTTAATAAGACTCTTTGGACACAATCAGGGTTATGATAAAGGCAAACAGTGTCAGAAGAAAAGACATTTAGAAACATCAGGGAAAAAATCCAAAGCCAAGAAACTGTACAAGACGGGAAGTATAATTATTATTTATCTTGTATGAGAGGTATTTACAATGTCATAATAGTGTAGCCACTGTTAATGATTTTTTAAAACTTCCATAACCTGTGAATGAGGTATGGAAGACTTAATTTCAGTCTTGAAAAATGTGTGAATACAAATGATAAATTAGGAGGTAAAAGATGGAAGAAGAACTAAAGGGGAGGATATGAGTGCTGATGTTCTCATTTTATTGTTGACAGAATGAAAAATTAAGATTATGGGATCAGTAGAACTAAAAGTAGTGATTTAACTATATTAGGATGATGAGGTGGCAAAATGTGAGAATGGTGTGACAAGAAGTTAATAGATAGAATTGAAAGTGGCTAATTTTTAATTTTTTTGTAGAGACAGGGTTTCACTAAATTTCCTGGACTGGTCTCGAACGCCTGACCGCAGGTAATCCTCCCACTTTGGCCTCTCAAAGTGCTGACAGTGCTGGAATTACAAGTGTGAACCACTGTGCCCAGCCAGCCTCTTCATGTGTTTTAACCTTTTATGCATCTGTAACCTTTTATTTCTAGGAAATGACTTTAAAAATTGAAATAGAATGAATAAGATAGAGAAAAAAGGACTTAGCTGAAAGTCAATAAAGACTTTTCCTAAAAAATGTAGTTTGAGTTATAAGTGTTAAGATGCTGGGTTTTTTTTTGAGTTGAGGTCTTACTCTGTTGCCCAGGCAGGAGTGCAGTGGCACAATCACTGCTCACTGCAACCTTGAATTCCTGGGCTCAGGTGATCCTTCTGCCTTGGCCTCCTGAGTAACTGAAACTACAAGTGCACACCACTACACCTGACTAATTAAAAAAAAAAATTTTTTTTTGAGTTGGAGTCTCACTCTGTCGCCCAGACTGGAGTGCAGTGGCCGCTCACGGCCACCGCAGCCTCGACCTGCAGGGCTCTGGCAGTCCTTCCGTCTCAGCCTTCCGAGTAGCTGGAATTACAGGCATGTGCTACCACGCCCAGCTGATTTTTTGATTTATTGTAGAGATGAGGTCTCGCTGCCCAGGCGGGTCTCGAACCCGTGGGTTCAGGCAATCCACTCACCTCAGCCTCCCAAAGGCGTGGGATTACAGGCTGAGCCACCGAGCCCGGCTAAAAAAATTTTTCTTGGTAGACATGAGGTCTCACTTTGTTGTTCAGGCTGGTCTCAGACTACTGGGCTCAAGCAGTCCTCCCACCTTGGCCTCCCAAGGGGTTGGTACTATAGGCATGAACTGCTGCACTCGGCCATAATGTTAAATTTTATTTGTTATAGAGGATTGGGTAGGAGGAGGGTTGAGTAATCCAGGTACAGGTAGAAGTCTGTGTAGCGACAAGGAGGTGTGGGAAGTGTGAGATTGCATAGTGTGTTTTGGGAATTTCTGTCAACTAGGAATGGTTGAAGCGAAAGGTGGTTTTAGAAAAGTGGCCAGTCTGTGGAGTATTATAATATTCTTTAAAAATTTAATGTAATTTGTGTAATGACGACTAGTTGTAATATAATAAATTATAAAAATAAACTTTTCAAGATCTTCTAAACTTCCCATCCCTCAGTACACACAAATTCTTTCTCCCTTGAGAACCACTGAAATTTGAGCTGGAAACTGATACAACCACATTAGCATATATTAGAATTTACAGTGTTGGCATCATTGAAGTTAGATTTGAAGGAGGGATGAACTGGTAGTAAGATGATCAATTGAGAGGTTGTTAGAGGATGATGGGTTTGGCCCAGCGCAGTGACTCACGCCTATAATCCCAGCACTTTGGGAGGCCCAGGTAAGAGGATTGCTTGAGCTCACTGGCTCAAGATCAGCCTGGGCAACCAAAAAAAAAATTAGCCAGGCGTGGTGATGCAAGTTCTGCCTCACGCAAGGATCGCCTGAGCCCAGCAGGTTGAGGCTGCGGTGGCCATGAGCATGCCACTGCCCTCCAGCATAGGCAATAGAGTGAGACTCAAAAAAAAAAGATGATGGGTTTCTGAAATAGTGCATTTGAGAGGAAGAGTACAGGTTTATGTGAAAGATGTTAAGGAGGCAATCTTGTTTGGGTAGACTTCATCAGTTCCTGTAAAACTGAAGACCGATTACTGGAATGACAAACTACAGAAAGAAGCAGAAGCTTTTGCTTATTATCGCCGGACACACACTGCCAATGAGCGACGGCGACGTGGTGAAATGAGGGATCTCTTTGAGAAATTAAAGATCACATTGGGATTGCTTCATTCTTCCAAGGTTTCCAAAAGTCTCATTCTTACTCGGGTAAGTGTTCTGTGTAAATGACAAATAATAGCTTTACTAAGAGATTCTTACAGATGCTGTGAAAAATAAGTCATTGATATATGAGGGATACACTGAAATAGAGCTACTTGAATTTAACAGTTGACTGCAGGCTAATGAATGCTCAGTGAATGCTTTGGGCAAAAGATCATTATGTTAAGTCAGAGTAGCTTTTCATTTCTAGTCAGATTATAACTGATAGAGTTTTCCTTTCTTCAGATAAAGTCAGAAGCTCTGGGTACTTGTTTACCACATTCTCTTTATGTTGTGTTCTTGATAGCGCTTACAAGTATCACAGTGTAAAGCACAGCGTGTGATATTTTAGCATACTTAATAGCTTACAATCATTTTAAAAGAAAACCTGAAGTATTCAAGCTAGCAGAAGTTGTAATTTTGCATGTAGATGTAAAGTGATTTCATTTAAATTGTTTTTAAGTAGAAGTAGGAGGATTATGGGGTAAGTATTCATATCCCTCTAGAGCAAGGTTTTTTCAATCAGATTTTGTTAGTAGGAGATGATTTTAAAGTTGATTGTTAAAATTTTAGCAGAGCACAAATCTCTTTTGTATCTCTTTGCAGTGGAACACCTATGAACACTTAATGATACTCTTTGGAGATAATCATGACCTATGTTCCCTAAAAGTATAAGTCAGAAAGTTTAACAGAAAATAATTTCTGAAACATCAGTAATTATTACTGGTATTAAAAAGTCCTCAAGATATTATTTTTTTCATTAAATTGTATAGGCCTCACCTCTTTTTAGGAAAGAGTGGGTCAGCTGACAGTAATATCGCTATTTCTGTTTTAGGCGTTCAGTGAAATTCAGGGACTAACAGATCAAGCAGACAAACTGATAGGACAGAAAAATCTCCTGACTCGAAAACGGAATATTCTGATACGGAAGGTATCATCTCTTTCAGGTGAGATATTTAAATGGTTTCTGATAAAGAGCATAATAATAGTTTTAGCAAGGAGAAATCTTCAGTAGACCTTTCAGATACTATTTAGTTTAAGGCCTGACTCTCAGCATTTAAAGCACAGTTATTTTTTGAGTGGGTGGGACATTTCTTCTGGATTGTAATCACTCTTGCCTACCATAGTTTTGGGGAATATAGTTAAATCAACTGGATTTCAGTTGACTCTATTTCTCATTATTATGTGAGGTTATTCAGAGAGTGATAATTTATTCTTTATCAACCTGTAGGTAAGACAGAAGAAGTGGTCCTGAAGAAGCTAGAGTATATTTATGCAAAACAACAAGCACTAGAGGCACAAAAAAGAAAAAAGAAGATGGGATCAGATGAGTTTGATATGTCTCCCAGAACTAGCAAACAGCAGGAAGGATCTTCTACATCATCTGTAGATCTTGGACAGATGTTTATAAATAACAGGAGGGGGAAACCTTTGATTCTTTCCAGAAAAAGAGACCAGGCCACAGGTAGGAAGGACATTCTTTGCTTTCCTTAATGTAGGTGAACATCAGTTTAGTTTAGTGAATTGACTATCTTTTCTTGGTCATAGTTTTAGTTTTAATTAAATGAAATAAAGATGGGTAGTATGAAAAGTAGAATATTAACTATGTTAGATTTTGGTTTCTGGCTTTACACACTCATGCAAATCCTGAGAAGTTAACGATCACGGTAGCATGTAAGTCCTACCTCTGGGCCGGGCTCCGTGGCTCAGTCTGTAATCCCAGCACTTTGGGAGGCCGAAGTGAGTGGATTGCCTGAGCCTGCGGGTTTGAGACCCGCCCGGGCAACTTGATGAGACCACATCTCTACAACAAATCAAAAATCAGCTGGGTGTGGTAGCGCGCGCCTGTAGTTCCAGCTACTTGGGAGGCTGAGGCGGAAGGATCGCTGGAGCCCAGCAGGTCGAGGCTGCGGTGGCCGGGAGTGGCCATTGCACTCCAGTCTGGGTGACAGAGTGCGACTCCAACTCAAAAAAAAAAAAAATTTCTACCTCTGATAGCCATTTACAGTCATGCATTTTTAGCGAGTAATTTTTAAAACTGTCATCTTTTCAGGCTTTATACATGAACTTATGATTTCCCTGTAGTTCTGCTGATGGGTTGAGAAAGTTTGGGTCAAACTGAGACAGATACGTTGGAAATTTTTTAGAAATTTCATTTTGAGTCAGGCTCTATTTTTTATCAGATCACCTATCAGTGTCTTGCTCTTCAGGAACAAAGTAAATTGGTTTTAAAATTTTTCACCTATCTTGATTTTGAAAGTGAGCTATATTGATTTTCTGTTACTTGCTTATGTTCTTAGAGAATGGTCTATCCTTTTTTCACTCTTTTGGTAAGTATCCAAAGAGTACTCTGTATATATATCAAACTGAGAAGGTAGTAATGGATTAGTAAAACATGAATTAATTTTTCTAACATTGAAGAATCATAGGATGCTTGCTACTTCTGAGAGAGGAATTTAATAGCTATTTGGTCTAGTCACCTCATTTTACACCTCATTTCACAGAAGGGAAAACCAAGGCCTAAAATTTATTTATTTATTTATTTATTTTTTTGAGTTGGAGTCTTACTCCATTGCTCAGGCTTCAGTGCAGTGGCACATTCACGGCCACCCGAGCATCAACCTGCTGGGCTCTGGTGATCTGTCCACCTCAGCCTTCCAAGTAGCTGGAACTACAGACGTATGCTACCATGCCTGGCTAATTTTTTTTTTTTAATTGTAGAGACGAGGTCTTGCCAAGTTGCCCAGGCTGGTCTTGAACCCGTGGGCTCAGGCAATTCACTTGCCTTGGCCTCCCAAAGTGCTGCGATTATAGGCTGAGCCGCTGAGCCCAGTCGAAAATTTTTTTTTTTTTTTGAGTTGGAGTCTCACTCTGTCGCCCAGACTGGAGTGCAGTAGGCGCTCCCGGCCACCACAACCTCGACCTCCTGGGCTCCGGTGATCCTTCCGCCTCAGCCTTCCAAGTAGCTGGAACTACAGGCGCGCGCTGCCATGCCTGGCTAATTTTTTTGATTTTTATAGAGATGAGGTCTCGCCAAGTTGCCCAGACGGGTCTCGAACCCGTGGGCTCAGGCAATCCACTCAAAGCGCGGGATTACAGGCTGAGCCACCGAGCCCGGCTGAGGCCTAAAATTTAAAGTAATTTATTAGAGGTGTATAGGAAAGGAGTCCTAGGGAGAGAATCATATACACCTTCATCCTGACTCACTGGCAAGACTATCAGAAGCATTCCACTGAAAAAGTGTTTCCATAGCTCTGTTCCTCAACAAATAAGAAATTCTCTCCTTTGGAGAACCATTGGACAGGTAACCATTGTTCAGTAGAAAGTGCTTTAAGAAAATGAATTATAAGTTGAGTTTCCCTAACTAAATTTGAAATTTATTTCTTGCTTTTTAAGTAAGGGTAGTTTTAAGGACAACTCATAGTGTCTTGGGCTACACTCGCATTAATTGAAAGTCTTTTTATCCGTAACTAATTTCTGATCTTCCTTACAGAGAATACCTCACCCTCAAATACTCCACCCACCTCTGCCAACCTTGTGATGACTCCACAAGGGCAACTGCTCACCTTAAAAGGTCCCTTATTCTCAGGACCAGTGGTAACTGTTTCTCCTGCTCTCTTAGAAGCTGATCTTAAGCCTCAAGTTGCTAGCAGTGCTATGGCTCAGTCAGGTATGTCATAAGTTTTGTCTTTTCTGAGTAGTGAAAAAATTATTCTGGTATTGTACAGTGACACAAGAAGCCTTTGAGTGTGTTATGTTGGCATTTGCCTTGATAAGAGATGGCCCTCATTTTGGAACATGTTTGGCTTGATCTTATATTGATTAGTATGTTTTTACACCTGGGGTTGGGAACTATTTTGTGAACTCTAGTTATTTCTAAGTAGGAGAAGAATTGAAAATATGTCAAAGTGAAAAGAACATGTTGAAGGATTATTGTCGTAGGTCCTTCTTTTTCATTTTTTTGGGTTGGAGTCTCACTCTGTCACCCGGGCTGGAGGGCAGTGGCATTCTCCCAACCATCACAGCTTTCACCTGCTGAGCTCAGGCTGTCCTTCTACCTCAGCCTTCCAAGTAACTAGAACTACAGGCATGTGGCACCATGCCTGGCTAATTTTTTGATTTGTTGTAGAGATAAGGTCTCACAAATTTGTCCAGGCTGGCCTCAAACCTGCGGGCTCAGGCAGCCCTCTCACCTTGGCCTCCCAAAGTGCCGGAATTATAGGCATGAGCCACCGCACCTGGTCTTTTTTTTGAATGGGAGACTCACTTTCTCGTCCAGGCAGGAGTGCAGTGGCACACTTACAGCCACCGCAGCCTCGACCTGATGGTCTCAGGGGATCCTTCTGCCTTAGCCTTCCAAGTAGCTGGAACTACAGGCATGTGCTACCATGCCTGGCTAATTTTTTTTTTATTGTAGAGATGAGGTCTTGCCAAGTTGCCCAGGCTGGTCTTAAACCTGTGGGCTCAGGTGATCCTCTCATCTCGGCCTCCCAAAGTGCTGGGATTATAGGCATGAGCCACCATGCCCCACATTTTTTTTTCGCTTAAGATACATGGTCTCTAGCCGGGCTCGGTGGCTCAGCCTGTAATCCCGCGCCTTTGGGAGGCTGAGGTG